AATTTGTATGTATTTATGTATGTATGTATGCATGTACGTATGTATGCATGTTTGCATGTATGCATGTTTGCGTGTATGCATGTATGTATGTATGTATGTATGTATGTATGTATGTATGTGTGTATGCATGTGTGTATGTATGTATGTATGTATGTATGTATGTATGTATGGATGCATGTATGTATGTACGCATGTATGCATGTATGTATGTATGTATGTATGTATGTATGTATGTATGGTTATGTATGATTATGTATGGCTATGTATGTATGATTTTGTCTGGTTATGTGTGTATGTACATATGTATGTATGTATGTACGTATGTAAATGTACGCATATGTATATATGTGTTTGTGTTTACATACACACATGTACTTATACATACGCATATAAATCTATCTATCTGTCTATCTATCTATCTACCTATCTATCTATCTATCTATCTATCTATCTTTTTTTGTCTATCTATCTATATGCCTGCGTATGTGAATGTATACCTAAAAAAGTATTTGTATGCTTGCATGCCTGCCCGTCGGCTTGTGTATTTGTGCATATGTGTCTATGTAAGGTAGGTCGGTGGGTGGGTGGGTTGGTGGGTGGATAGGTAGGTAGGTGGGTAGGTAGTTTGCCAAGTGCTGCGTATGTGTAGGAAAAAAATGCAAACCAAGACCCTCTGCGTGGCTTTATATGATGAGGAAGACGCGCAGACAAACCAACTGGACAGATACAGTGCTGAGGAGTTTCACTATGTCACTATGTGTGTTGTATTTGCATGTATGTTTTTGCTCACCATGTTTATGCACGTTGTCCAATAATTTGCTGATTATCGCGTGTGCGTGTGTGTGTGTGCGCGCGTGTGTTTGTCTATGTTCTTGTGCTCACCATTACTACTACACTGCTTCATGAAACTTCTTCCTGTCATTCTCTGTGGTTCTCTCGTTGCCGAGGTCGTTGGATTGCCGGTGGCTTGGCCAATTGTGCTGGGCGGGGCTGAACGGGGTCTCAGGAATCGTGCCTGGTCAACTTCGCTCGTACTTGAAATTTGCTATCTTCGTTCATGGTCCTCAAGAACTTCCGAGCACTGCTGGGAGCTCATAGGACGTTGGAGTCGAGGTTACTTTGTGGCTACGGCTGCATGAGATCAAGCTATTCCAAGCTGGGGCGGCCTTGTGGTCCGTTCTTTGGGTACTGATAAGGGGTCCTTCGAAATTTGGGGTCCCGTTGTTGGCGGTTTTCGCAAGGCTCGCTCCCTACTCTTGGACCGACTCTTGGACCATCTGTCTGAGACGGCAGCAACAGCCACCCGAAAGCCCCGATGGAGCTTTCCACTCCGCTGAGTGGCAGGTTGGAAAGTCACCGAACTATCAGACACCACAGGGACAGGCCGGCAGATGTTTCAGCTTCCGTTCGATCAGGCTTGATGGGTTTGGATTTGGTGCGGCAATGCGAACACATACATACTTACATGTGCGCCTACATACATACGTGCATGCATACCGAAAGACGCAGATACACAGACATGTATATAATAGGTAGAGTCGGTAGAGTTGCACAACTTTTTGTGATTGCCTGCTCCTGTACCTTGTCTGACATGAGCTCGGGTTGAAGGGGCAGGCATAGCTAGAGAGCATGACAGAGCCCTGCTTCAAGAACTTGTTGAGAACATATTCCTGGGCAAGCTAGCTTGCAGAAAGTGGGAGGCGGCAAAAACTCTCAAGGTTTGCGGGCTAGGAGGATCTCGATCCAACGGCTCAGGTCTGGCAAACTGTTTACACGAGCCCAAAGACGTAGCATGAGTGGCTTGGAAATGCATCTGGCTCAATGCAGCTCTCTTCCCGGCATGTTGCTCGTAGCTCCATGCCGTCATTTGTGTTGCTAATCTTGCTGATGGCCGGCCGTGGCCAATGCCACGATGGACGAGATGACGAGCTGCTTGCCGCAATCAAGCGGCAACCAGGCTGCACTTCTTCCTGCAAATGCTCGATCTAGCGGTGGTAGCCGCGGCTTGAAGGCAGATGGACAGCGTTCCGGAACCGCCTGTGGACATCACAGAAATCCCCAAGGACTTGCTGGCGCGTCCGCTCATCAACGAAGTTGTGAATTTTAGAGCTTTTTCGGGCTGCAAGGCTGCCCTGAGATGTGTAACGGAGCTGAACGTATCATGAGCTTCGGTGCTGTGTTGGAGGTTTTTGTGCTGCAGATGCCTACACTTCCTGTTTCAGGACCTGCGCTGCAAGTACTGCCATGCCGTGGCCTCCACCTTCACGACAGCATTGGAGGTGAAGACCAAGTCCTTGCCGCCATCACGGCATGGCCTCAAAGAGGAGGAGCACCTTGCAGTTAAAGTTTGCATTTTCTTGGCAGAGCCAGCACCATGCCGCCCCTGATCTGCACAACTTCTGCAGATCGACTGGCTGTCCAGCCAGTCGACACCCCTATACAGCAATCGGGCACACCCCCCCCAAAGAAACATGCATGTATACATATGTACAATTCACTATGCACCAATATGGGCAGGCAGACACACAGCGACAGACCGGGTTGAGACGCTCCGCCCACAAGTCTGATGACCCGATCCTGCCATGGTCCAAGCTGTGAAGGCCGAACACGAAACAGTACCAATTTCAACCGCCTTGCGGTTGTCTTCCTGAGATCGGATGCCGGAAAACTCAAGGGAGGCAATGGACCTTGCCTTGGCAAGACAGAGTCTGATTTCCCAAGGCAGGCAGGGGCTGTTCGGATGCAGTTGGCTACTGCTACCGGGTGTTCGGATGCGGTGGCTACTGCTAGGTCGCAGGCCCGGCTCCATCTTCAAAGCATGGGGGGGGGGGAGTCTCGGAAATGATTGTTCAAGCGGGGCCAGGTCTCCGAATCAATCTTCGCGGACAATTCAGTTGGGCATGTTGTTAAGGGGGCGTGGAGGGGAGGCGGAATGGTCGTCGAAACCGTGTATCTGGCAACCCGGGTCCGCCCGGCGACAGCCCGGTTCCGAACTTGGCTCGGTTTCGGGTTTCTGGATTTAGGATTCCTGGGTTCGGGGTTTATGGATTCAGGGTTTCTGGATTCTGACACTCCGAGCCCAGCTGCAGCAAGGGTTTCTGGGTTCAGGCTTTCTGTGAATATATAGGTTTTCTAGGTTCAGGGTTTATGGACTTAGCGGTTTCTGGTTTCTGGGTTTACGGTTTCTGGATTCAGGGTTTCTGGGCTTAGGGGTTTAGGGTTTCTGCGTCCGGACCCTGGTTGCGGACCCGGGCTGCGGCTTCTCATTCTAAGCGTCCCCCACGGCCCCACATCTTGAAATTATAACGAACCCACTCGGAATGATTTATAAATTGTTCAGATGAACCTCCGCCTAAGACAGCCAACATGTCAAAGAGTTGGGGGCAATGGTCTGTGCAAAGGTACATCAAGGTGCTGGTGGAGGCGTGTGAGAAGCCTGTGCAGCCAGGTGGGGTTGTCGGGGCTTCTTGTGGTTGTCGGAAGCTTTCGGCTTCAGCTGGACTTCTTGCTTGTAGGCGGATGGGGTAGTGTACTAGTCATCAGGTTGCTTGCAAAGCCTCCGTAAACACTGGTTCCCTCGGTGTCAAGGGAGCCACTAGCAATTTCGGGGAAGGCTGTTGTAGTGGCTTCACTGCGGCCTCTGTTTTCAGGGTTTCTCGGGCAGCTTAGCCTCTTTCTTTGTGATTACGTAGTTTCCCGCTAAATTGAAGGGTGATATGTGTTGTTCTTACTTCTCAATTGTGCTAACAACGATGTGCATGTAACTTTTTGCGTGACCGCACTTACCACATGCAGGCAGGCGTGCAAGCAAGCAAGAGAACACAGGAGCCAGCAAGCCAACGAACATAACACAGCTCAAGAACACCAGCAAGCAGCCAAACATAGTAGCAGTCGCCTCACAGCATCGACGTCTGCTGGTTTGAGATTCCGATGTTGAAGAGCGAGTCCCCAATCTCTGGGTGAAGATTTTTTTCATTGCCAAGTGACGATCAGTTTTGTCGGGCCCAGGGGACCTGGAGTCGCCGCACTTTGAGGCACGCCACCTGAAGTGGCTTTGTGGGGCCTCTGGGACTGCACCCAGGCTTCTGTCTCCAGCTATTAGGGCATGGTAAAGCCATGTGTGATGAGGCTGGGCCAGTAGTTAGACGCTGAGCTTCTTGTGCAGCTCCAGCTTGGCTTAGACGAGGAAGTCACTAGCATGTCAGCCTTTCATGGCTGAGCTACCATACTGACACGGCCGCTCTAAAAACTTCAAGAAATCGAAATGGAACACCAACCTCTTCTCTTGTTGCTGCTTTAATTACAGTCCCAGGACATCTTGCAGACTCTGGGCGAAGAGGAGCGGAGGGCTTGTCATTACAGATTGCCAAGGTCTGAGCAACGCGTCGTCGCACCTGAGTGACATAAATTCAGAGCGACTTCCATGCCCGGCAGGACGTTTGGGAGCTTTTCCAGAAGCATGCAGAAGTTCCTGCGGCGCGCCTCTGCTCGAGGAAGCTTCGCCTTTGCCCGAAAGAGAGCCCTCGAAGACGGAATGCCACGGGCGACCTCTAACCATAGCAGAGTCCAGCCGCGCCTATTCGGCCTCCACGACTCAGAGCATGCCGTCGGTCTGCCTCCCTAACTCGCACGAGAGCTTGGAGTGCTGGTGCCGTCTTCGAGCAGGGCAGGACTGCAGGCCAGACTGACGGACCTTGGGGCCCCAGCAACTGAAAAGGAAATGCAGCTGGTCAGAGGCTTCGCCGAGCATGGTCGACTCGAAAAAAGCTTCGTGAACGGATAGGTACCGACATGTCTCCATGCAGGTTTTCGCAGGCTGCCCTTGCGTAGAAGTCAGACCAGTGCACGACCAAACTGTGAATACTGCAAAGTGACACGGTCTTGACTTCTCTGCTTCGGCAGGTGCTCTCGCAGCAGGTGGCTCAGGCTCCGGCATGAGGAGGAGCATTGTAAGATGGGACGGACCTAAAGGGTCCCTTCAGCATCGAGACTCCCAGCCGGGAAACTCTGTTTCTGTATGTTTCTGTACTGACTGTTGTCGCATTTCACTACTTGGGAGCTGGGAGCTGGGGTAAACCTAAATTCTAAATTAAGTTATAGGCGAACAATGGAAAGGACTGAGACTTCTTGGGTGAACGTTGTGAGGCTTGTTGGTTTTGTACTTTATTGTTTTCAGTGTTTCTTTGCTCGTTTTGTTGTAGTTCTTGGCAAATCGTACCTCGAGCTGTGGACATCCCGAAGGAAGGCCGGTGTCATGCGGGCCGTAGTGACAGTTGGTCTCTGGGGGTTATTGGTTCGTGTCAGACTCGGTTGGTGCATCTTGCGCCCTCGCAGATCCTGGAAGGGACCTATGCTTTAGTGGCCCTAACTTGGTTCGAGGCACAATTATAGTCCTCTAAAGTCCCTCAGGGGTTGCCATCCTGTAGATTTAGTTTCCCTCCCATAGTCCTTCTACTCCGACTCCGTGAGCGGTAGCCTGTGATACATGTCGATATACTAGGTAGATCTAGGTAGGACAGTACCACTGTTCTTGCTGTCCTTGGGGCCCGGACCTTTGGTTTCCTGAACGGGACGGCCCGCAACCCCCAGCCAGAGGAGTGGTTGACTGGTGAGAGCCCAACTCAGCAGGCTCATCGCGCCCGGGCACCGCCCGCCAGCATTAGGGATAACATCGAAGCAGTTCAGTCGAATCCTTAAAGATGCTTCCAGACCAGCTTTGGTATCCCAGGCTGTAGGACTGTAGGAGACGGAGGCCGCTAGAGAACAGCGGATCGCACAGAAATGTACAGAGCCGTCCTGCCGTTCTGCATCGTGCTAGTGTCCCCTGATGTGTGCTATGCTCCGGAGCGTATTCTTTGCTGCAATGGATGCTCCACCTTTTTCCACCAGATTTCTCCAACATGGTTGGCGGGGCCACTGCAGAGACATGAACGGATCGGGTGGTGATAGTTCGTGATTTTCGGCAGACGAAGCTGCTGCCTTATGGCGTGCAGGTGCCCAGACTGGATCTGCTACTAATATACAAAGTGTCTCCAAACAGGGTCCTCTGGAGCTAGCCGCCAGCCCCTTCCGGAAGGGGTTTGCTTTACATGTAACAAAGTCAAGAATGGATATCATGTAGAAGGCGATTTTCTGGAAACCTGTGCGTGCTTGCAGGTGGTAGCACCTGTCTCAGGCTTTGCTTGCGGAATGCTCCAGGGTGTAGCAGCTAGCTTTGTCTTGACAAGGCTTGCCAAGAGATCCGGGAAGAGAGCCAAGATGCCTTGCAAGAGAAGTGGTTGCGTCTAGCCGTACCAAAAAGCAAGCTCATTGTGCCGAGGACCATCGCAGGAACAGTAGCTGCATGGGCATGTCCCTTGATGAACGGCTGGAAACCGGACCTACAAGGTTTTACAAGCCGGCTCTTTCAGGAGGATGCTGGCCTCCGGCACCAAAGGTGTGAAACACGAGCTGGTCAGATTAAAGGTGCGGAAAACCTGCGATCAGGCGTTGTTTTACACATGCAAGGCTTGAAACCCGCGGAGGGTGCGCATTTTGCTACATAGTTCTCTCGCGATCTGGCTCGTGATACACGGTGTTCAGAGAGAGAGCTTGCAAGCTCGCATTGGGACCGGAGACGTCGTAACGGCCACACGATATCGTAGCACTGTTGCAAGTTCGCCGGAGTTTAAGCTCTGCTTTGACGCCCACTGGCTCACAGCTGTTTGGGGTGCAGGCTCTTCCCAGACTGGTGGCCTGCCTGACATTATCAGCGAGTTGGTGCTAGGAATGATCGAGCTGCATGTGGTGGCTCAGGGTTTGTCTTTTGAAAACTGTCCTGGGTGCCAGTGGTGCTTCCCAGGTGTGCTTCAGCCTGCCTTGCCCTGCCCGTCCCTGCGCTACCCGAACGGAAGGAATCCAGGAAGCCTGAAGAAGCAGAATTCACACCTCGAAAGACTCGTCATGTTCGGATCTCCAGGCCACCGAGGGTGGCGGCTTGGACATGGTCGGGGCCTAACCAGTTCACTGCTTGAAATCACAGCATGGCAATAATTGAGAAGAGCTTGTGCTGCCGTGCCAGTGTGCCCTCTAACTCTTTCAGGATAGGATCTAAGGCCGAGGTCATCGATTTTTTAAGTGAGTGGACCAAGGAATCCCCTTTTTAATGAGTCATTCGGATTCGGATAGCTTTCAACTTCTCGGAGCTGCAGGACGCTGACGACCAGCTGCTCAGTCCTTCCGCGACGCTGCCGCAGCTCGGAGAGACGAACATACGTGTAGTTTGGGTTTAGGGTTTAGGGTTTAGGGTTGAATACCCCCAACAGGAGTGCAAACACGAAATAACTGCAGAAGCACTTCTAATGGGAGCTTTGTTCGTTGGCGTTCGCCTGAGCTCGGGCCTTCGCTTTTCGAGGCACACACTCTTGGATGCGCTGAACAACGTGGATGACGACCTGATGCGTGGGTGCTCAGAGCGTGAGATGTCTACTTCCGTGGGGAGTGCTTACTGCAGCTTCTTCGGCAGACATCCTCCTGTAAGGGAACCCCCACCTGGCTTGTGCGCTGAGTGCGGGGCCCGGGCTTTTGAGCCACCGGTTGCAGCAGATTCCGCAAGAGATCGTGGCTAAAGTTTTCAGCTTTCCATACGCAGGATCTGGCTTTCTTGGAGAGTGGGGCCTTACGATTGTCCGGCAGTTGAAGCGTCATAAGACCTTGCCTTGATTCAACAGGCCAACCGGTTGCGACGTGGCCGGCGCTGGCCCAAGCGAGCCTGTGTGGCACGACCAAGGCCAAAGGTCCCGAAGGCATGGACATGGCATGGACATATATTGTATTATTATTACTATTATTAGTATTATTATTACTACCACTACCATTACCACTACC